AAACCACAACCACACATGTGGGCACACAATCATTTTTATACATGTACACATCATCCACAACAGGCTTTTGCAAGGCTGGCAGTCTGGCAGTGGTGTTTTTACTGTGGGGATCCCCACGTCTCGCGCGTTTGGAGATTGGAAACAGAAAACTTGTGCTCGAGTTTGCGGCAGTGCTCAGTGTTTAGACTGACTGTGTGTGGACTTTAAGCCTCAGCCTGCCAAACTGACTTTAGATTACATTAGACTGAAAGTCATTGTTCTCTACAGCAAGGAGAGAGAGAGAGAAAGAGAGAGAGAGAGAGAGAGAGAGAGAGAGAGAGAGAGAGAGAGAGAAGGGCAGAGAGAGAGAGAGAAAGAGGAATGAGGGGAAAGAACATTTACAGCCTACCAAATCAATCAGCCTTCTTGGCTCAGCTTTGTTCCATGTTAGGTACGCTGGCTGTCAAAAGTTTGGGCACACCTAGCTTTTCAACACTTTTTTTTTTTTAAACAAATGAGTGTTTTCCTTCTTTGTCTGCAAAACATACTAAAGACCTTTTTCTTACACAGTTTTCTCCTGAATTTAGTCATTGCCAATTTAAGTCTCCCTAATCACTACCTGCTTTCAAGTTGGGAGAGTAAAGGCTACCACTGGCTTCACCACCGCATCTTTTTGAACTGCTACTAGCATCTTTGGACAGGTCAGTGCACACTGCCAATTCTGTTACATCAGCTAACAGACGCCTGTGTTGGCTTGCATCTTGGGTTGCCACATGTCCAGGATTTCCCTGGATTTTGGACTTCGGTCCAGGAAAAAATAATTCCATTTCTGGACACAAAATGTCCTGGAATCCAAGCGGTTTCATATATTAGCATTTCTTATGAAGTTTTTATCCCATCAAGCCATTTGTATACAAAGAATGGGTTTGATTAGCTGAGATTACCCTCAAAGTAAGGAGAGTTGTTTGAGAAATGTGTTGTGAAATCTGTTTGTGACATTAAGGCATAGGCAGCACTGAGAAGATTAGGTTGAAATGACATCTATCTACCTAAGACTACATTATGAGCATGGTTACTCATCCACTGAATTTAGTAAAAAACCAGCTGACTGATCAAGTGCCCAGGATTTTTATAGATCTAAGGGGGCAAACCTATGAGCTTATTGCTGAATGTTGGGGGAGAAGGAGGACTATTCTACCCACCCAGAGAGAGTTAGAACAGTTATGCTGTCTTGGACTCCTGGCTACAGATGACTGTGGCATTACTCAGGGTCGAACTTGTGTATAATGATTATGGGACCAATGGCTACACCACTCGGGGGACCTACATGCTTATTTTAAGGAGTCTTCTGCACTGTTGCAAATAGTACAGTGCCAGTAATATACTTTATAGTTCTCCCTCTTGTTTATTATTATGCAAATAATGAACTCTTATAAATTATTTTCATAAATAGTGATGAATATTGGTCAGGAAAGTTCAAAATAGCACCTTTTTTGAATGAGAGTAGTGATGGCATATCAGCATCAATGTGTACTAGTATCTGGCTGATAAAAGCAGAAAATGCTAGATTGATGTCAAAGGCAAAAAACAAATCTATGCTGAAATACTACACTCACTAAAGATTTCTGACAGTATTACTTTCCAAATTATGTCAAAGCCCACATATTTGATCCCCTTGTAATATCAGCACTCATTAGCACTCAAACCCTACAGCTGTTTAAACCAGCTTTCGGTTTAAGATGTGTTTTTAGCAATAGTTTGTAAATAAAACCTGCTCTACATGCCAAAGAAGACACTTGGAGGTGAGGCTAGTGTTGCAAAATATATCCAAAGTATTAGCAACTAGCTGTTTTATGTTAACGAAACCCTTACAGTGATGTTTTCCTGCTTAATCTGAACAGTAACTGTGAAAATTCAAAGAGAAAATTCAGTTTTCAAAAGAAGACAAGGTATTACCAGACTGTTGAGTTGTGTTTATTAAAACAATCCTCAAATCCCTTTGGAGTCCCTTTAAGACCCAAGATTAGTTGAGTACTAGCATTCCTCTGTCCTCCACACTACAGCCTCTGTGTTTGTAGCTCAGATGTGTAAATGCTTCTTTTATTGGACACACAGTAGTTGTTCGGCTCCAGGCATGTCCGCTGCTCCTCTAAAGCCGGACTGTCTGTGTTTGGAAGCAGCGCAGACAATCTTTCGTCATTGGATCGTGTTGACACAATACTTTGTCGGGGCAGGAGAGTGTGTGTTGGCAGGCGTGTGTGAGCGAGAGAGAGAACAGTCGTCTGATCGTTCGTGCGAGGCTGCTGTTTTTTTTTACCTTCTTCTTTGCCCCCAAGCATAGTTTGAAGGTGGTCCTCATTTGTGCATGCCATTCACTCCCTATTTTTGTGGTGATTTGATTCGCTTGGATGGCTTTTAATGTGTATTTTCTTTCACGTTGTTTGGCCACCATCACTGAAAGTGCTTCATAAACTGTGTAGTCAAACTACAGACACACGATATGTATAACCCCAAGGGGTCCAAGTACTTTATTACAGAGAAACACATAACAACTTGACATGTATGGCATATGTATGTTCATATAATTGACTTTGTTGTTGGATTTGTGTACATGTTGTGTGATACTGTTTGGCACAGAGCGCTGCTGTTTGTGTTATGCTTTATTATGTTATTAATTGTATACAAATTGACTATACCACAGTTAGCTGTAACCTCACAATGTGATTGGCTGAGATCCATTCTGTCATTGTGAAGATCTTCCAATATTGGCACCCTGACCCCAATTCTGCTATAATCCAGAAACAGCTGCCAGCCATCGAGAAAAACGTGTAACATTTAATGGAACTATTACTGTATTGCTACTATAATCGTAATAATGCAGTCGAGGTCAAATAGCACAATATTTCGCGGTATTGCTCTTCCTCTCATTTATTTTTCATGCTGGGTTCCACATGTGGAGGTACTGTTTTTTCTCTGAGACCTACCAAATATTTTAAGAGGTGAAATAAAGCAAACTCATCAAGAAAAGTCTGTAAGTGCTTTTTTAGCCCATTTTCAGTCTACCTTTACTCAATATTACAAGCTCAATCGTATACCATGATAAAAGAATGAAACATGCATAGGTCTACACTTTTACTTGCGTACTGTGTAACAGAAAAATAATAGCATCATTTGTTTGTTCTGTATGTAGATGTAATCCATTCCTTTGTTGCATCCAGTATGAAAATATTAATAAGTTTCGTAATGATTTCATTGTTATTTAGTTACTCTGGTCTATGTTTTTAGCTGGAATAGCTCTTTCAGCATTATGATCATTTGTGTGTTACCAAGAAACAGGGACATACGGAAGTATTTTGTCCATGTTTCAAGCTGCATGTAGTTTGTGGCAAACAGCAAAAATAATCTCAAAGCGTTGAGCTTGGAGAACACGTGTCTTCTGTCGTCGTTTACTTGACACTCAATAACTTAAATTCTTGCTACGAATGGACAAGTGGGTCACAAGTGAGTCCCTAGCAAGACCACACTGCCAACACAGAAGCAGCAGTGTAGTGCAAAAGCAGAGTGCTTCCCTGTTTCAAGCTAAAACATGCTTCGTGCTCAGATTTAGTGGATGAACAAAACAAGATACATATACAATATATATACATATGGCCTACTTTTATATGCTCGATATCAGCCGGCCACCTGTCTCAAAAAGTATTGAGCCATCCCTAAATGAAACATTTTTCATATTTCAAGGCATTTAACCATCTCTGTCCTAGACACCCAGCTTATGTAATAAATAAACATATCAGTGCATTGATCTCCCATCTATATTATTAATCCGAATGTAAGTATTGTTGCTATCAATCAGAACAAAACCTTGTATCTGCATTTCTGATGTTTTTTTTATTTTTTCACCTTCTTTGAAAAATCCAGCTGCTCTTTGTAATGTGTGAACACTTCTTATGATGAGTGGACCAACAGAAATGGTTCAAAATTAGTTGGAAAAAAAATTGTAATGCTGACTTAGATTAAAATTGCAGTGATGATATATACCTGGAATGCATCCATTTAGGCCATGCCTAAGTACATCTTGTTCAGACATTCCAATAGCACTTTTAAAAAGGGAACTGGGAAACCCCACATTACCTCATATGACAGCTAATCACATTTCTTCTTCTCTTCGGTTGGCAGAGTTTTACAGTCTTACACAGCCACCGTAATCAGTCTTGACATTTTTTAGCCATACAAGGTCTGTGTTTCACCACTATGACACACTCAATTTGCTATGTTACACTTCATTTCATGGCACACTTTAATCAGTGAGCGCTATTCCCTGTGTTACATCAAATATCAGCCCTGCAGCCCCTGCTGGTGCTCTCAGGCTTATGTAAAGCCTCAGCTATGTGTTTGCATCGGCCCAGGTCCACTGCTGCAGTTTTATGGAGTGCTCAATTTCCAACGCTGCAATTCACTTTTGATAGTTGTTGCTTTCCTCAGGTACGCTGCCAGCAGATGCTCATAATTTACTGCCTTCACAGGATACCTGCCAATGTTTTAGAGCAGAATGAGCAAAAAAGAGCACAGTCTCAGTTTATAGCAGGGAGGAGAAGGAGAGCATGTGTCAGGAGGGTTAAAATGAACAAAACAGCTTAGGATACAAGGGGTGTGAATCTCTCACAATAATCAATTCAGTTCAGTTCTTTTGGAAATGATTCAGTGAATCATGAAATATCAACTTTCAAAATGATTTGGTTAGTAATTTTCCTATATCTGGAAGAATATAGGCAGTAAAACAATACACAAAGCTTTTTTACATTTGGAAATAGCCAGAGAATATTATTTTGCCCAAAATGACCATCTACTTTATTATAATTGTTTCTAACTTTCCAAAATCAGAGCAGTTAAAGTCAGTACAGTCATGCACTCCTATTAGCTCACTTTTGCAGTTTGGGATTACATGGTTTCTTGTCATTTGTAGATTCTACTGTTCTGTGTATCATTGTCTCATTCTCTTCTGTGTGTGTTGTTTTCTGCAGCGATGGAGGAGTTGGTGGCAGAGCTGCGGGTCTTTTTGGAGCTGTTGGACAGAGAGTATTTGAGCGCAGCAGTGAGAGAGAAGAAACAACAGATCTCCAACATTCTACACAGAGTCCTGTCTGCTAAAGGTCACTGCAAATCATGACTGAAGAACGCTTCTTATACTACCTTTATGTGCTCCTCATATGGTCATATATCCTACTTGCAATGTCATAATTATGCAGTTGGAAGTGTGAAAAGTATCAGGAAGCTGTTGTGCATGTTTAGAAAAGCTTACTTTAATTGCTTATGTTACCTAATTAGCTAGCCTGATCTGTTTTGGCATCTTCCTTACATTTTGTCCCATTGTAAAATTGTACATAGTTTAAAAACTTACAGCACATCTAGTTACAGATGTAAGCAAATGACTAAGACAGAATTGGTCACTATTAAAGGTAAATTGCATTTAGACAAAGACAGAATTTTACCATCAACCACTGAATCCATGCTTTCTTCCACTGTGATAGAAGGGTAAACGTCATTAAGTCAGAAAACCAAATACCAAAAAATTATTTAAGAGCAGCCACTTGTAATTACAACTTAAAGGAGTGTTTGTGTTAAAGTTTTACGATAATTCTGATAGCACGCGAAGGCAGCATTAGAACCTTTATCACTCAACATCTTAGTTTAGACATTTCCGCTGATCCTTTAATCTTTATTCATTGCCTTTTCCTTTACATTCTCACTTGAGGTCAAAATACTGAATCACTACTGGACAACTTTCCTCCCATTACCTCATCCAGCCACACCTTCCTATACTTGCAGCTCTTTACTTCAGTACTTCATGCTTTTGGACTGCTCCTTTTATGAGTCATTTGCTGGTATTACACTTTGACTCACCCTCTCTTAAAGTACAAGTTTGGCATTTTCTGATGAAATACATCTTCCATGCTGTGACAGCATGCAGTCCCAAACACCTATATTGATGGCTGAGGATGTATTCAGTTTTTCAGAATAACTGGCACCATTGGATTGAAACCCATAAAAATAGAACAATTTCAAAACTTCCAGAGCATTTATTTATTTATCAAATACTTAATAAGTGCTTAAGGCCCTCCAACCTTATTTATTTGTTTTATTTACAATCTCTCTTAGCTAGCTATAAACACAATGTTGTGCTTACTTGACATTGATGTAACTTGTGATGGGCTTTTGCTCACATACAGCTTGTGTTGTTGTTGGCAAATTGAAGTCTATTCAACTCAGTTCATCTAAACTATAGAACTGAATGCCATGAAATGCAATGAAAATGCCATGCTATAAATGCACTTTGAAAACTAAGTGGACATTCTTCTAAAGGAAATACTTTGGGGTTTGAAAGCTTAGATTACACCTACACCTCTATTCTAGTCATCATTGCTAAAAAACAGTTTAATTACAGTCATCAAATTGAGTGTCTAGGCTGACCGGCAGCATGTCATTAAAGTGCTACATTTGCTTTAATCCACATATCACACAGCACTTTTAACTCGTTTCTCTGCTGAAGGTCCTCTTACTCTCCAGGTTTTCTGTTTCAGAGCCGTCCTATAAGGCAGAGATTCACAGCTCACTTCCTGCACCTCCTCAGATGCCCCTTCCAGAGATCCCTCATCCATGGCTGGTAAGTCGGAAGTTCATAGATAGAGGTCACATGATCATGATGTCTGGCACTGAAAGCCTGAGAGTAAACTTGTGCAAATATGTCTGTGCTGTAAGAGGTTACAAATATAGTTGTGTGACTTCAGTTTATAATTTATCACACAACTGTCTCCCTTTTCCTTTCTATCTCCCTTTCTCCCTTTTTTAGGAATTTTAAAAGACCAAAACTTGTAATATACTTTGTTTAAAGTGGCTATAACATTGAGTTTGCAGTTTAAAATGCTATGCTACTGAGATGGAATGTGTTATTGTAGCTGATCATCACTAGATATGTTGGAAACCACAGTGATGAATTGGCCACCATGCTGATGTTACCTTCATTACACAACAAAAAATTACATCCAATCTATCTTAACCCCTTAAATCCCAGGCTTATGACATTATAAAGCTTATTATTCAGTAACTACACAGGCTACAATCTGAGTTACTCTTAAGTAATAGTAGCATGTAGTAAAACTTTGGGCCTACCGGTGGGCCCTGGCCATTGAAGGGGTTAACAGTGTGACCACTGACACACATACAAAATAAATATCATTTATGAGTAACACACTCGAGGTATTTTAACCAAAAAACTGAATCTCTCATTAGGTTGAACAGGATTTCGATCTGTAAAGCTTGTCCAACCTGGCAACAGCTGCTACGAAAGAACATGGCTCTGTAGAGCCATTTCACCATGCAAAGAACCATTTAAGCATGTAATGGTTCTATATAGAACTCATGGTTCTAATTAGAACCATTGCCTTTACTAAAGAACCATTGAAGAACCATCTTTTTATGTGCAAGTCAATTAAATTGGTGTTGTAGATGTTCAGATATTATCTGAAGGAGTAAAAGGAAATGAAGAAAATGCATTTTCAAGCTGCCTAAAAAGGAAAAACGTACAGGTTTTTAATCCAAAAGTGTTTTGTGTAAAAGCCTGTATAAGGTCCCCAACAGATGGACTGTGAGGGCTACAGACTGAACCTGTAGCTGGAGCCAGGTGCAGTGATACTGTTGCTTGAGGGGGATTTATAGTCCCTGTAAAACAGCAGCAGGAAGTGTTTGCATGAGTTTCCTCTGTCATATGAGCTCATATTCACCAACACATGACCCTGATGTGGTGTCGCCTGTCACACATGAAACAGATTAAGCCCTGTGTGCACGTGTATGAGGTGTTTTAATGTGACCGTGACATTGCACATGTCTCCAGTGTTGTAGTTGTTATATGGACCCCTCTGACCATAACACACACACCCCCACAGTCACACACACTCCTCCAAACATTACTTTGCGTTATAAACAAAATATAATCCAAGGCGCAGTCAGCACTTGCACTGTTTCTAGCATAACAGTGCATAATTAGAAACATCCTATGTTGTCCTGCTCATCAATGCCTGACCCCAGTGTGAGCATGTGTGTGTAAGGGCTGCTGTTTTTTCGGAAGGGGAGCAGGGGGCCTGGACAGGACGTGGGGACAGTTGGAGAGAGGGATAGAGTAGAGGTGAAAGGGAAATCTATTTCACTATTTCCTTCATAGAAACAACTGTCTGTTCATTACAGTCCAAGGCCTGACCTCTGCAGGAACTGCCAAACCTGGCCAGGCAGAGAAAAGAAAAAAAAACTGAAGTTCTTTGCATTTTTCTGTACCTTTAAATTACATGGTTCAGCTTCTCTCTCTGTCTCTCTCTGTGCTCAAATTTAGTGCATGAGTGAATGAGCTAGGTTTATAAACTCCCTTTCATCTTCCTGCTGTTGCCAAACCGAAGCCTGCTACTGCAGTTAGTCTGTGAGTGTGTGTGTGTGTGTGTGTGTGTGTGTGTGTGTGTGTGTGTGTGTGTGTTTGTGTGTTTTCCTACATTTTAGGACAAAATGGCCTGTTTGTTCATTTGTTTGTTTGTTTGTTTTTAAACTGAAAAGACATTGCAAAGTGTCTAAGGTTAACATTATTGTTAGCTTTAGAAAAATCTTATATATATATATATATATATATATATATATATATATATATATATATATATATATACGTCTGCATATGTAATACATATGGGACATTTTTATCATGACATATAGTTAGTTATATAGTAACATATATATAGTATAATATATACCTAGACACTTGCATATCAACAAAAAAACAAACAAAAACATGTATCTCTAAAATACTAACTTTACAGGGGAAGGCAAAATGTTCTTAAGGTGTAATGTAAGGTACTGCAGAGAGATTTTATTATATTATGTGTGTGTGTATATATATATATATATATATATATATATATATATATATATATATATATATATATTTCGTATTGGCCATACCCCACATCCTGAAAAGGTGTAAAAACAAGTGTGTTCATGTGTGTGTGTGTGTGTGTGTGCATGTATTTGGCCAGAACCTTCTCTGGTCTTCAGGAGTTGAGTGGTCAAAGCCACAGAGGGAGAAGCTAGAGAGGAATAGAGGGAAGAAAGAAGAGAGGGAAAGAAGGGCAGTGAGTGTGGGTGGGGAAACAGGGCCATGGATAGGACAGCAGACGCCACGCTACGAGGAGGGAGGAATCATGTCTGGTGCGTGTGTGTGCTTATTGAACTAAACTCTCTCTGGCTGTGGGTTGTATTAAAGTTTGGCAGCTGTTGCAGCACATACTCTGTAATGACCCCAGAGGTAGAATGTTCACGTTCCTGTCCATGCGCTGGCAGCTAAATGCTGGTTTGCTCTTCACAAAACCTTCTGTCTGTCTCGCTTTAGGTTATAGGAAAGACCAAAGAGCTCAACAAACACTAGCTCTCTAATGTTGGCAGTGGTTTTAGAATGTTTAGAAAGAGGAACAGATAAATCAAACAAATGGTGAGGGATCATTCTAGAACAGCATGATTAAGGGAGAACACTAAAGAACTGTGTCAATAGGGGTAAACATTCTAGAACAGTGGGAATGGGGAGAACTTTCTAGAACAGTGTGAAAGGGGGGGGCATTCTAGAATGGTGTTAGTGGGAAGGAGGTTTTAGAGCAGTGTGAAGAAGAGAATTCTAGAACAGTATGGATGGGTTAGAACATTCTAGAACCATGTGAAAATCATTATAGAACAAGCTGAATGAGTGAAAACATTCTAAAACAATCTGAGTGAGAGAAAACATTCTAGAACAATGTGAAAGGGGGGGCATTCTAGAACAGTGTGAATAAGAGATAAAATTCTAGAGTAGAGTGAATGGGGTAGAACATTCTAGAGCAGTGTGAGTGAGAAATGTTCTACAGTATAAATTAAGGAAAACATAGAACAGTGTAAATGAGGAGCATTCTGGAATAGTGTGAAAGGAGAAAACATTCTAGAACAGTGGTAATCTGAGAGAACATTCTAGCACATTGTGAATGAGGGGACAGCATTCTAGAACAGTGTGAATGGGAGTATTTTAAAACAGTGTGAATGGTGAAAAAATGTAGAACAGTGGTAATCAGTAAGAACGTTCCAGTGAGGAGAGAATGGGAACAATGCGAAAGGGGGAGCATTCAGGAGCTGTGAGAATGAGATAAAAACATTACAGAACAGTGAATGAGGGGGAACTATTCTAGAATATTGTGAATGAGGGGAACATTCTAGAGCAGTGTGAATGGGGGAGAATGTTTTGGTGTCTCCCAACAATGGTACAGTCATAACAGACCCACCAAACATTTGGTTTGTTTTTTGGGTTTTCTTGTGTTTGTTGTTTTTGTTGGTGTTTGTTGGTGTTTGCTTGTGTTTGTTGGTGTTTGCTAATGTGAATTTTGGGTTTGCTGGTGTTTGTTGGTGTTTACTGGTGTTTGTGTTTACTGATGTTTTTTGGTGTTTATTGGGGTTTGTTGGTCTTTGTTGGGAAGTGTTGGGGTTTTTCTGTGTTCTTTGGTGTTTATTGATGTTATTAGTGTTTGTTGGTGTTTGGGCTTGTTGGTGTTTGCTGGTGTTTGTTGGGATTTGATGATGTTTCTTGGTGTGTGCTGATGTTTCTGGGTGTTTGCTGGTGTTTGTTGGGATTTGTTAGTGTTTGTTGGTATTTGATGATGTTTCTTGGTGTATGCTGATGTTTCTGGGTGTTTGCTGGTGTTTGTTGGGATTTGTTAGTGTTTGTTGGTATTTGATGTTTCTTGGTGTGTATGCTGATGTTTCTGGGTGTTTGCTGGTGTTTGTTGGGATTTGTTAGTGTTTGCAATGGATTATTGGTGTTTGTTAGGGTGTAATGGAATGTGCTGGTGTTTGATTTTTTTGGTCTTTGGTGGTGTTTGTTGGTGTACCTTGGTGTTTGCTGATGTGTCTTGGTGTTTGCTGGTGTTTATTGGTTCTTATTGGTGTTTGCTGGGGGGCTTTTTGGTGTTTGCTGATGTGTGTTGGCATTTGTTAATATTTGGTGTTGTTTTTTGATGTTTCCTAGTGTTTGCTGGTGTGAACTGGGGGTTGTTGGTGTTTACTGTATGTATTGGTGTTTATTGATGTTTGCTGGTGTTTACTGGTGTTTGTTGGTGTTTCCTGGAGTTTGTTAGTGTTTGTTCATATTTCTTAGTGTTTGTTGGTGTTTGTTAGTATTGTTGTTTACTGGTCTTTGTTGGTGTTTGCTGGTCTGTGTTGATGCTTGCTGGTGTTTGTGGAGTTTGTGTTTGCTAGAGTTGGTATGTGTTGGTGTTTGTTGATGTTTTCTGTTGTTTGTTGGGGTTTGCTGGTGTTTGCAGGGTGAATGTGCTCTGGTCATAATGCACACCCACACACACAACTAGTCAGCAAGTTTGTGTCACCTCTATTGTTTATTTGAGTGATCTTACTCTTAACTAATAACATGGTGCTAATGTTCAGACAGTGAAAATGACACACAGGGTGAGAACGATGAGAAAGCAGCAGAAAGAGAGAGTGTGAGAACACCATTTTTGTTATTATTAGTTTAACCTACTTCTGTTCTCTCTGGCTTTAGCATTGCTGACTTTTACAGGAAGAGCAAAAAAGCTCAGCCAACATGAAAAAAGAGAG